GATGGTGTCACTCGTCTTACCCTTCAGTTACTCCACTGCTGACCACAATGTTCAGAATTAACTGGAGAAAACATCAAGCAGAATTCCTAAAAAAGTGGTGGGATGCTTAATTCTTTAATTCCTTCATTCTTTCTATTATTAGGTCACTTTAGAGGATATTTGTGTGCTCCTGAGACAACTGCTGCAAAAGTACAGCCCTAAGGGCCATTAGATGTGGCATTTTAGATGGAAATTTTTACATTACAGAATATGAAATGCAGTTTCTGTGTTGCTAAAGTCAGTATGTACAAAAGGGGTTTTAAAAAAACCCAAACCAACCAAACAACCCAAACAACCCCACCCATCAACACTTACTACCTTTAGGAATATAAAACTGTGGCTACTCCTTACAGCACTACCTCAGACAATGTATTAGTTAAAATCTGAATTTACAGCTGTTTTCTTAGATTATCTAACTTGACTGTTTCAAGATCAGTAACGACTCTACTGCTCCTGAAGACAAAAAAAAAGACAGAGAAGAAAACCTGGAACAGACACATTGTGCTTTGCCGTTAAGCACCTCCCCCCATTACTTTACATATATACAACCAACAAAAATTACAAATCATTTAGAGTTTGTACATGCTTCCTTCTTATAAGAGTATCAGAAGATAACAACCTCTTTGCAATAGTTTCTATGATTTGTAGAAAACTAATTTACTTGTCAAAAAGAGTCAGTACTTAAAGAAAGGCAATATGACTACCAAAATATGTAGGGCAGTTTACATGAACCAATATTTTCATTTCTGTACAGCTGTACCCTTGATTCATCCTTCTCTACACTGCTGGGACCAGAGCAAAGCACCAGCACCACACAATGCAGGACAGTTGAGCACCCACGGAGCAGTCGAGGCCTTGCATAGTCCATGTAAAGAGTACTTACAGCTGCAAAGCTACCTCAGGTCTCCGTTACTAAGACTTCAAGGTCATTTCTGTGTCCATTCTTCTGCCACTTTTGAGGAAGGTAGACTGTATTTTCCCTTTATTCACACAGAAACTTCAGTTTCTGCTGAAAAATTACATGATTCTGTCACAGCACCATATCTGAAGTGCTGGCACAGGTGAAGCCAGCTGCAAGATTCTCATTGTGTGTAACAAGGCTGGGATCTGCTCTAAACAGATGTGCTCCAAGCAAAACATAACAAATCTTTCTGGTTGTAGAAATCAATCTGGTATTGCTGACTGGCATTTCAGTGGACATAACCATTCACATTTATGGCATAGTCTCCATTTAATCACTACAAACAATATTTAGACATATCTAATGATTTAGCAACAGAACACCTGTCTAGTAATCCGGCGCTGCTAATGCTATCCAATTACTACATCCTATCCATACCTAATTAGGTTTTACACAACAATGCAGTGATTACTGTTAATTCCAGCAGCATGTACTATAATTAAGATATTGAAGAATGCTTACATGTGTCACATGAGATTGTGCCAACTCACCTCTCTGGTGTTTCACTGGTGTTCTAGACTGATTTGATAAACAGAAGCCTGAGACACCTTTGTATTATAACAGACACTTCAATAATGCTCCAGATATGTTCAATAACACAGCATCTTTTCTCAAAACCGTATTTGACACCTAGTAATATTCCATAAATAATGGGATCAGATTAAAGTCTTGCCAAAATTCATTATGAAGTATTAAACCTGTCTAATCTTTTGTCACTACTACAAACACAATAAAAAGAATGAAAATGCCAGGAAGTATGGAAAGCTATGAGAATTTTCCTCAAGAGCACTGTAGAACATAGTCTGAATCAGAAGATGCATTCTCATGCCTGCATGAGACGCTTACAAATTAGATATTTTACATCAGAACAAATTTACCTGCTTTTTACTTCAACTTAGTTGATCATTCCTCTTCCGTAGTTTCTGAAGTTGTTATTCATTCTAACAACTTCATCTTAATTATTGCACGCATAGACACTAAAGGAAGGATTTAATATTAGAAAGAGATTAAGTATTGTGATCAGCTGCCTTGTGGTTAACCTTGCATTAGAGCTAAACATTATGATTAATGATACAAGTAAGCTTTTTGTTTGGAAAATACCAGTGTTTTTTCTTTATAGCTTCCTATTCAACTATTCAACAGTTACTATTTCTCAGAAAAATAACAAGGCTCCAATGTTAAGTGTGCTAGCAACACTTCCTTTGTTGAGGGCGTTTGGCAATAGTCTTGCCACCCAGCAAGATCTCATAATACATTTTGTAACTTAACTTTCACATTTAACCTCATTTCCTAAGAAGAGGTTTCCATGATTTCACTGTATCTGTTGAATATAAGTTGAGAAGCAAAGTAGTTCTGCAAGTTGCTCAGTTTCCATATTCCACCATATGAAGATTTTCGAAAGCAGGATCTTAAAATGACGTCACTTATCTAGTGGCCTAAACTGCAAGGCTGTTGAACACAGCGAGTTCTCCATGCTGAGAGCAGAGCCCAAGAAGCAGCAACTGAGAGCAAGGAGTCTCTGCTTTCTGGCAGTGTTTGAACGATGCTTAATGAAGGACTGCATCACAGATGTTTAGAAAAACCCTTCCATACATTGCAGACCAGATTTCCAAAAGCTTAAGGAATTTTAAAAACCTGCCATTGCATTTTAGATGCTGAAACAGAAGATGACTTCTTGAGAGTCTCACTCCGAGTACTTTTCTGTAGTTTTAAAAGGAGCTATTCCACCCTCCATCAGTTTAGTCCTACTGCCATCTGCTGTCACAAACACACCAGTGCCACCCTGTCTGCAGTGTTTGTTCTTTCCTCTTCTGTTGTTAAAAGTGTAAAGGAATATATTCCAATATTGCTACTGAAAATTACCTCAAAATAAGCACAAACTATTGTCTAGAGGAATGTAACAGTAAATCAGTGTACTGGCACCTTCATTGCTAGAGCCACAGCCCTGCAGGTGTGTGCCTGGTTTCATACAGAGTTTAGCCCTCAAAAAAGGAGTCATTCACATCAGTAAGTATTAGAAGGATTGGCTCCAGATCCCACAATCCTTTTTCTGAACACTGGCAGTATTGCTTGTTTTTTGAAAATTTTGAAATTATTATGATTAGGAAAGAGTTAAGACTGTGAACTGGCCAGACTACTAAGGCTGAACTGCTCCTACCTTATCCTTATGTGATCATGCAAAGAGGCTTAAGTCTTTAGATTAAAACAAACCAAAGTTAAACAAAATTAAAAACTTCTGCATAAAACAGATTAAACAAAGAGGTCTGAAAATCAGTTACCCAAATCTACCTCCTACCTAGAGCTTCAGTGAAGTCCAGCAACTTCTACAGTTAAGCTAATTCAGTAATTGCTCTCAGGACCACTGGGACACTTTGCACCATCACCTCCGGTGGTGCCGTGTTTCAGCAGCTTAAACTGGATGAAACTGGTGCCATCCCACCCCTTCTTTTGCCTTTCCACCAGCACCGGAGCTACCACACAGTGAGCCAACTCAGGGCTGACATGCACCCACAAAAACACCACTGACTGCATTAGGAGCAGACAGAGAGGGGGTCAAGACAGAGATGACTCTGGAGAACGTAGTCATGAGCTGCTCTTAGTTTCTCTGATGTCTGGTTACTGCTCCAGGCTCCAGAAGTTCTCTCAGAAGTTGCTCAGTGTGCACTCCAGCTTCAGGCTTCCCACTTGGCCTTTCCCTGCCATGCTCAGAAAGCCAACTGTCACCCAGTGTTATTATGGGTTCTTGAGAGAGCAGGGGTGACCCTCTACCCTCCCTTCCAGTTCTTCACTTGACTCAGGCTACAGCAGCTAAGACAACATGAGGTAGTTTCTGTCTGCTGCTCAACCATACACCCTTTGTGGAAAAACATAATACACAGTAAGCTGAAAACAAGCATCACAGCATTTGTACAAGGATTTTTAAAAACAAAGCAAAAACACTGAAACTGTAGATTCTTGCTGCTCCATTGGGAAAACGACGGTTGTCTCCAAACAGTTCCAGTTAGAGCTGTGCTCATAGGCACAGGGATTAAGTTAGTTGCACTCAGACAGCAGAGGGTAAAATGCAGGACATGGATTTTTCTTCCAGTGATTTATTTGCATGGAACAAACTGTTAGCATAGAGTCTTTGTAAAGCTTCTGGGTTTTGTTTTTTGGGGGTTTGGTTGGTTGATTTCTGGGTTTTTTGTGGTTATTTTTTCAATAAGCACATTACTTGTGCTCAGCATAAGCCCAATTCAATTTGATGACTACCACAATATCACTCTAATGTGAAACTGAAAGGCTCTTTCATACATTGCACTTCTTGTTTGAAGAAAAAAAAAGAAAAAGATCTTACCCTCATACACACAAAAACGAAAGGCAATTTGAAGGCTGTATGAGGATAAACTTATCAAGTATGACAATTAGTAAAAGTTTAACTTACAATACCACCAACAGTACTACTTCCTATACTTGCAGACACTTGTAAAAATGTTTTTCTTTAGCAAACAGGGTTAGATTCATACACTCTAAATAATCTAGATATCTATGGCAATTGCCTACGTTTTGCCAAAATGCAGGGGGAAGAGGAGGAAGTCAGGCGCACGAGCTGCCCTCTGATCACGCATCTTCAACACCTACCTCAGAAGGGAACACACCACTGGCCAGTGAGAGACAGGTGAATCTCACTATTTTCTAAACCTTGCCTCACCCAAGTATAACAGGACAATAAAAATAAGTATTTCACACTATTTGTTTTAATGCAGATGGACAGTCAACAATATATTCAAACCAGGTACATTTTCAAGCGCAGTTGTGATAACCAAACGCAATGTTATTCATACACATCAATTTGAAAACTAAATACTTTGGATTAAAAAGCAACTGGTCTGTTATGATTTGGGTTGGGTTTTTTTCCTGCTATACAACCCATTTGATCATCCAAAAGATACACTCTTTTCAGACAGTATATTAAGAGCATAAAATGTACTGCAACATGCAAAGAAATACCCTTTTTTACCGTTTTAATAGAACTTCTTGATTTCTCTTCCCAAACATTACTGCTCAGCTCCATTGTGCAATGAACATTTGTTTCTCTGTCATAGGATCCAAATATAAGTAACCTGAAATAGAAAAGCCTATAGTAAGGATTTTAATACAATTATATATTTACCAGATAACATAATAAACTCGCCATTTTTCATTTATACACTCTATTATCATCACTGTGTACACACAGCAAAGCCCACACTGCAAAGATTCCACAGGCACAGCCTTACACCAATGGAAAGACACTGCCACCCTCTAGTGGGAGAGCTCTATAAATATCAAATAAAACTTACAATTTTCAGCTAGGGTTTGTTTGGTTCATTTTTTTGCGTTTTGTTTACCTTGTTTTTCTGTTGCACTTCCCTTTTTCTTTTCTTTTTTAAAATAAAGTGTTCAATTGGCAGACTAGTATTTTTCCATAAAAGAACAACTACTTTCTTGCCTTTTTAAAAAGCAACAATAGCCACAAGAGTCTCTAGTCCTAAACTTCACAATAAACTTCTCAGCTCTTCTTGGCTCACAAGTGTTACCGTAGATTAAAGTCACAGTTTAAAACTGCTTATGTTTCCATTTCCCTGAACTGGGATCCTCTCACATCTGTAACTTTTGGTAGCATTCAAAACAAACAAAAGAGTGGTTCTTCATGCATGATACCCTATTCCAGAAGGCTATAAAGCTTCATAGGTAGATATCAGTACTATAAAAAAAACAAAACAAAACAAAACAAAACTTTAGGCTATAGAACAGCAATAAAGTTGTACAGTGCTTATCTCACAGTAGCTGGACGGAGACAAATATTTTGGAATAAAAACTTAAGAAATCTTGCTCTTTCAAAACAACTATTAGATTTTAATCCCTCTCCCAAACTTTCTATATACATTTGACAAAGACAGTTGCTAAGCTTTCATTCAAAGTATCTTATTTGTGATTGTGATGCATTACACAACTCTTTAGATGATACAGACAAAAGCTGTCAGAAAAACACCTCCATTATCTCTGCTTATCTTGATGTTGTTAAATAATGTTTCTAGGTTAAATATTTATGATCAAAAACTGGCTGTGGAGATATGTATATATGATACATGTGGATATATCTTTGAAGATAAGGTAAAGCTACTTAAAACAACTTTCACCAACAATTAAAAATTGGTAAAATTAAGCCAAGTCCAAGGAAAACCCCCTCTCCAGCTACAACAGCTCCCTAGCTTGTATTGCAGCAAGGAAAGTTAAGTATCTATTTCTTTCATCTATGAAGAATTTGTTTAATGCATTTTCAGCAGAGTACAGGAATGCATGGGGGAGATGCAGGGGGAACATGACATTTGGGTCAGTACCACCTGATAGACAAAAGACACCGCTACTCAGTGCAGTCAGAGGGAAACAAAAAGATAGACACACTCTCCAGGAAGTTTTCCAGGAGCACTTTCTGACCCTCTAAAATATCAGCAAAGCAGCTATTTAGCTGTCTTGTCCTGGTGGCAGCTAAGGTAGAAAGACAAGAGGTAGTTCACAACAGGAAGAAAACACAATTATCAGCCAGAACCTTAACATAAGACACATGGAAAACAATTAACCATAATGAGATTTCACCTTAAATTAGGTTACCAACACCCAATTTGAAGAAACATATTGCAAGACAGCAGAACTACACATCTGAATTTTAAAGAGCAGCACTGGCCTGTGGATACTTCATGCTGGAGTTTGGAAGTTAGTTTCCAATTTCAGAAAGGGGGAAACGTCAGCGGATACTACACTGAGGAAGTTTTTTGTTTGAATAGTAATACCTCTGTTAGCAAGCAAACAGAGGTACTGTATTCTATTACACAGCTGCAGATACTGACATTAAGACTGTGTCACAACACATCCAAAACAACTGGTTATTAAGGCAAAGTGTTTGTCCTCTGATGCAGAGCAACAAAAGTGCACAGGGGCTGTGGTCACCTCAGCTCCTGAGCTCAGCCAAGCCAAGAACTTCAGCAAGTCTTTATAATCTTCCAGAAAAGAGGAAAAGTAATAAAACTAACGAGTTTCCTGCTTTCTATAGGACAATGCTAAAATGCTGATCTGCATATCTAAGAATCTGGTATGTGCAGGCAAAGCACACACCGACCTTCAGCAACATGCTATTTATTATCAAGTACATAAAAGCAAGCTATATTTATTTATTTTACAATCCTTTCCTAATTTTTAATTTCAGCTGTAGCCTATTTACATGTATTTTAGAAGCTGAAATAAGCAGAGTATTTTCTACATTTTAAGAATGTCAAGAGCAGATTCAATATTCACTTACTTAGAGGTGCCACTGCCACACACTGGAAGGCAAAAGGAAAAGCACCCATAAAACAAATTTGACAAGTCAGTCTCAGGTACACTCTGATATTTTACTAAATAACTATCTTTGGAAAATTGCCTTGTTAGCAAAGGTTATCTACTGAAACAAGTGCTAATTTAGAAAGCCCACTTGATGGCATAGTTCTGGAAGAATATTCTGGCCTAATAGAATCAGAGATCATTGGTTTTAAGACTTTATTCATAGTGTGCATTTTTTTAAAAAATAATATAGCAAGATTTGACATTACATTGCTTTGCTTTTCCCTTTTCCTTAAAAAATTAAGGTGGTGACAGATAACAGCATTTTTCCAACAACTGAGTTCTGTGAGGTGATGGCACTTGTACAAGAAAACTTGTATTTTCAACAGGTCAGAAAAAGTTGGAAATCATATTCCTTATTTTTACATCAAAGTTCCCATTCTTTCAATAATTTAATTTTTAAAATGTGCAAAACTTAATTTTTCTTTCAATAGCATGACAGCAAGGAAATTAATACGGTCAAGTCTGCAATTAGGAAATAAACAAGTGCAAAAAGTCCAGGTATTTGGAAGTGTGAAGAATATAATGAAATTAAACTAGACATTTATAACATACAAAAAGCTTGCTACATGTTTTATCGCTATAGTTTCACTACCGTATTTCATACTTCAGAGGAGATATGGCAGAACTCTGTTACCAGACTTGATGCAATACAAGGTCAGCAGTGAAGAACCTGGCTCCAACTCCTGTACAGAAGTCAAAGACTAGGTACTGTACTGAGAAAGGATATAAAAGCCTTCTGAGGCACCAAGCAAAACCAAACTACACACAAATTAAAGTCATCTCTCACTTTTGGAACAAGAACAACTGCTAAGAAAAATTTCCAGGTCCCAATGGTAGACACGAGTGAAAAAGCTCTGTATTTCGGCATGCAGTGCTGCACTGCAAATGAACCGTGGAGAATGGTCTCAGGCAGCCTTCAAACCATCACATACACTGTGATGAGAAAGGGGGTATTTTGTCACTCTTACTTTCACTTATAGTGCATATTCTTTCTTCTTTTACTACCAAAATCCTCTATGTGTCTTTCAGCTTCTACCTCATCAATATCTTCAGGTGTAAAATAAGCAAGAATATTTACTCACGAGGACTCTATGGGCAGCAGTTATAGTTTAGTTCAAAAAAGGACAGGACCTGGAAGACCTCAGGAATTACTACGGGACCAGGAGTCAGACATCTACATAGAAAGGTCTGTTCAAATACCATTTTTGAGTGTGTCTAGAAACCCCAAGCAGCATAAACCAGTCGGATTAAGTCAGACCTGAAGCTTAAAAGACCTGACAGACCAGCAAGTGCATCCTCTGCCAGCATCAGATAAGTATCTGTGACAGCTGAGAGTACTCAGAGGTCAGATGACGATGTCAAACCCAGCAATCTGGCTGCTAAAAGGTAACGGAAAGAAACACAACACTAGCAATACACTGGTGATCTTACAGTGTTTCAGATTCAGGAAAGGCACAGTATTTAAAAAAATTACTTTCCAAACAAATAAATAAAAAAAACCTAACTAGACACAGCTTAAGGTAGTTATTTTGGGCTCTCTATTAGTAAAAAATGAACACACTACTGCACCAAAATTGGAGACTGGCTACAAAACGAGGTCATGAGTTCCCTCCCTCAGTACGGGCAAAGCAGCCAAGGAGGGCAGAGTCATTCAGTGTTCTTGGATCATTCACAGAAAACACATCACAAAGCTAGGGAGAACTTACCTGTCTCCCTTGCTATAAGTTGCAATTTTATTACAAAAAATTAACTGCTGTGGCCCACACAATCCTTCAAAGCAGGATAATATTTTCTGGAAAGCCAAAGCACTGATAAACCACAGCAAATACAGTTCAAATAGTTGTGTAAGGCTACAGAAAAAAGTGCAAAAAGGAGCTCATACGGTAATACAAGCAGTATGTTAAGAAAAAAAATATTATTGCTGCAAAAAACGGAGCTTAGTTCATAAAGAGCAGAGCAGCACAACTAGATCAAAGCCTAAGCATTATTAGGATAAGATAAACCAAGAATTAAGAGGTTTGACCAAAAAAACCCAAACACCTTTTGTCCAACTTTAAAGAGAATTTTCTCTCCAACAAACGAAGTAGATTTTATTTCTTTTCATTATTTTGTTCAAGACAAAGACAATAAATAACGTGTTATAGAAGTTATTTGAATTAATTTAAGTAAGACTGAGTAAAACAATTACTTCCCTTTGCTTACAACATAATACAATAGGATAATTACAAGATTTATAATGTCCTGGAAAGAGAGTTATAAGTTGGTGTGCCAAACAAAAACAAAAACAAAAACAAACCCACAAAAAAAGAAAAAATAAGTATATGCCCACACAATGCAGAAGTGCCTCAGGAACTTACTGCAAATTTCATTTGTTCATTTTTACTTAAAAAAATATTTCTTGATTAGAGCTCAATCACAACACTTCGGTGTTGAGCTGCTACTTCTTGAATCAGAACATGCCTACAGCTATAATTACTACAAACTTAAGAAACACATGTACTTGCTTAGTCAAGAGTGAGCAAGAGAATACAAAACAATACCTTGTACATTCAATTAACATGACTTTTAGTCGACCTTCTCTCAATAGAAGATCCTGCACACACAAGTCTCGATCTTCATATTCATCAGCTGGCAATACTTGACATGGAAAAAATGGCTTGAACCTGCAAAATAGAGAAGAAACTTATCTTAATGATGTAAACAACACTAACACAGAAATAGTTTTTAAAAAGTAACAGGATTACAATGAATCTTTAACTCTCCTAAAGAAAAATACTACCATTCCCACATGTTCATTAGTCAAAAGGAACAAGCAGAAACTACTTAAAGTTTTTTGAATGCAGAAGACCAGAGGGTATAGAAACACAGACTGCTCCACAGGAACAGATTATTTGAGTTATATTTACTAATGCAGATAATTTTGAGAAAACAGGAAGCTGATAACATCAGAGTATGTTTATGATTGCAAACCTGACATAACAGTCCTTTTGCACTAAGTATCTTCGCGGCTCTTTATTTTAGGTTCACATGCATAAAACATCACAGCATTTAAAGGCTAAAAATATACTAAGACCCTAAAGCATAAAGCTTTACTCAGAGGATTTGGTACATCCTAATAAACAGTGCACTTCAGTTACAGATTGATACTTCTCTCATTTTGTGAAAAACTTCTGGTTGCTCTTTAATTTGAGAAGAATGGCTGAAAAGATACAGGTATTCTAAGTATTTGGGTTTTATTCCCCCTCATCATAGCACGTGATGCACAGGAAAAACAGCTCATGTTCAAGATATGGAGTGTTTTACACACATTATCTCACCGCAGAATCCTCTCTCTTTGATTAGAGTATGGGGGGTTATAAATACCAATTTCATTTTTAAGTGATAGCGTTTCCGTGTCGGACACAGCCAGGATCTGAGGGAAGGAAGGAGGAGGGAGCCACACAGCTGCGGCCCCAGCACACAGCAGACTCACACACGCAAAGGCCACAACCCTGTGAACAGAAAGATATGGCAGAGTCTCCACTAGCATTGAAGTATTTGAAAAGCACTTGCAGGGTATTCCTCCTTTCTGCTTTTATTTATTGCCCCCATTTCCTTGCACTTCCCCTTGGTTTCTATCACCTCTCAATGACACAGCCTCCCAGTGGTTATTTCTGTGGAGAAGACGTTCAAATCACAGGACACGAGCACCACTGCCTGCAGCAGGGATCTGCCAATTCATGAGAAAGAAGCCTTTCATAAGTCACTGTTTGCTCAGCCATGGGAGGCATCTGCTTGTCACATTTGGAGATCACAGTATGTTCAGGCAACAGTCACATGGATGGGCTGAAGTTTCACAACTCCCAATAAATAATTAAGCAGCCTTTAACTGTCGGCACACTCTTCAGGAGGGAGCTGAGACTTCAGACACTGCGTTTCTGTGCGAGCATCGGCCTCGTACAGAGCCATGAGAAAGACATTTCTTTTGTTCTCCTTGTGAATCAATACGACTCAACACTCCAGCTAGTTTCCCAAAATCCAATTCAACTTCTAACTTTAATTTTGTTCCAAGTTTCTCCCTCATTAGCTCCTGCAGCAAGAAAACTGTTTTGAAATTGGTCGACTTACACTCCAAGTATACCATAAGCAACCAACCCAAAATGTTCCTTTTGTGTAGCCTACCTGGTTTGATATTTTACTCATAATCTTCCTTTACAGTTCGTGAATTATTAAAGGAATGGCAGGCATTATAAGAGTGGGAAAAATACCACCAAGACATACACCACTATTTTCATGCTACAACTTTAAGACTTACTGCCACTTCAGGGCCTGGCCACCTCCTCGCTCACATCAACCCCAGCAGCCTCAGCACTCACCACCACACAAAGGGTACCCTGTTTCTCTTAGCAATATTATTAAAATATTATCAAAATAATACTTTTACCCCCTCCAAATACAGATTTCCCTCAGATTTTGTTAGGCAAAAAGGAAGACTTAGGCAACCACACTGGAAAATAATGCCAAGTTTTGACTGAATAAATACACGTCATTTGGTCTGGGTTTTTTTCAGCACAAAAAACTTCTCCATTAGTACCAGCAACGGCCCATATACCTTTGCCCAAAAATCTATTAAAAAATAGTTTTCCATGGGAATATGAAACCAATGACCACACCAGGAACATCCTGTGAGCTACTGAAACAAGATTTCTGGAGGAGAGGAACAGAGAAAGGAGGAATCCAATAGGTTACCATCACCTCTCCAAATTTCTGCAAATGCCAGGCTTAACAGTGTTGGCATTGAGAAATTCTTTCCCTTATATATACACACTACAAAACAGCCTGCAGACTAACACAAACGTGGACAAATCTATTTTCAATACTAAAAATAAGCAAGAAAGAAACAAAAGCAAACTAAGACTAAAATACTCCAGTAAGGAAGCAGACATACCTACCTACATATTTAAACCAAACATGTCTCAGGTAACTTCAGAACAAAGTGTTAAGTACAGCAAGCACACATTGCACGGAATGATCAAATAAAACTAACAAGAAGCCTTCTTTGGTACATTAAGACATAAGGTTTACTATAATTTTTATTTCTATTTTCAAAAATACTTTTTAAAAAATACAACAATGAATTAAAGAGGAAAAAATTCTGAAATACCAATGCAGTTTTATACAGTAACATGTAAAAAACTTAGCAGTGTATGCTGGACTTTGTGCAGCACTAGCTAAATTTTCTACAAATACAGGATCAAAAAGCAGTCTCAACAACATTTTTAATTTACAATAACTATTACGTTCACATTGAGTGAATCTAATTTGCAAAATTCTTAGCAAAAAACCCTAACACGCTACCCATTTCCATTGGCATTAGCAGCATTCAAATAGCTAAATACCCCACATTAAAAGCATTTCTAATGTTTCAGTGCTGCTCTGAAGTCTTCCAATTTTATAACATCGCACGTATCTATTTACGGTAATTTACTGAGAACTTGTACACTTCCAAAATCCAACACTGGACAAATTACTATTTTAAGCAGATTTCAATTATACATTAAGTGAGCTGTTGACAGACTATTTAAGTACAAGATAGCCCAAAATTATTGGTAAAGCTTTTACTGCTGGGAGCTGGTGAATGAACACAGACCAGACGGCGACGGCGGTAACACGGCGAGACTCCGTCCCCTTGTGCTGTAAAACCACACAGAGGCAACCTGCGATCCACGCACATAACCAAGCCGGGCGTCACAGCTTCTCCCATCTACTTCACAGTCTATGAGCTACTCTACCTTTTAAAAACGACCATCACCAGTAAGGAAGGGCACTGAGGAGTGCCACCGCTGGCTGTTCCTTGGTTCAAGTGAAGTAGGACAGCAATGGGGGCTCTCCTCTGTGGAGAGGGCAGATTCCCCAGGTCTGCACCATGTCTCGGACTTCTCTGCTTGAAAGTCACAGCCCTACACAAAATTAACTGTAAAGTTTGCTTCATAAAGTGTTTACAGAATGGACAAGACACCTTTAAAACAAAAGTAAAGCTGTATTACACTGTATTAAAGTACCAACAGTGGGATTTACCTAATAGTGCCAATAACACAACTGAATGAACAAACTGTGTCCAGGCCCTGCAGACTACAGTACCTTTTCGTGATTCAGTATCTTCCTGTCCCAAGCTTTCCTGCATAAAAGAGATAAGTTTCCTATCATTCTGGGTTTGTTGTTATAATATAGAACATTTTATTAAATCCCTCGTGCAAATATCCTTGCTGTAATTTCTGTAATAGCTTTAAAAGTGTATTCTGCTACGTTCTAATATTTAGTCCATCTTTAAAGAGCCAAAGTCCACCACTAAATGCCTTAGAGAAATTAATCATATTGATTAAAAGAAAAAAGATCACGTAGCCTACCAGGAAGGCTCTATTCAAAAAGTCTATAAAGAAACCTTGACAGCAAACTAAATGCCTCTGTTAATCTCAGCTGGTGTCTGCCCTCATCACAGCAGCCAGCCCAGGATCTCATCAGTTCTGGTAGGTTGCTCTTGTGAATTCAAGGCTCTCCCTTTGCAAACTCTGAACAAGAAAAAAATAAGTGGTTGTTATTTGTCTGTCTAGATCTTTAAACATTCACCCAGTATTCTCAGCTCCCTTTCTTAAAGTTCAGAAAAAGTTAGTTACGTAAACTAGTGAACCTCCATCCGTGGAGCACAAGCCCGTAACAAACGCTCTGCCGTCACTCCATTCACTGCTACAGCCCGGAAAGTGTTTTAAGCCACGACAATGGTGTGGGGAAATCCTGGAGCTGCTCCTGACAGCACAACGGTTAAGAAAACCTTACCAAAAGGTACTTAAAAGACAAAGTATCCTTCTAAAACTGCTGAGCTCTCCAAAGCAGATTTTCACTGCATCTATATTAGACCCCTTTCAAGCAGGGTCTGATGCTGCCATCTCCTTATTCAGCGAGGTCAAAAGGCAAAACTCATGTCACAAATCCTTCACCTACAAAGCAGGATTACACCAACTTAATCCATGCATCCGAAAGCTGCCTTTTCTATTCCAAACCTGTGAAATGATACTAAACAACCATCAGAAATAAGGTAGATTTTGTAGAGGGAGAGATTACACTGTCTTTAAACCATATTTGTTAAGCCTTTGTAAACGCTTCATCTTCTCCAGAGAAACAAAACAGACACATTGTAGCTACACTAGAAAACAAACAAAAAAACACACCACAAAATGAGACAAAACCAAACACCTTATGTCCCTGCCCCAAAACCCTGCTTGGATATGGGATGCTATTTTAAAAAGTCTTTAGAAGTGCCTTATAATGCTTATAATGAATTTTCCATTTGGTTTTAAATTATCAGTCTCCTTCCACAAATTTCTCATCCTATTTGTCCAGAATCTAAAATACAAATAGCACACTATTAAGAAAATATTAGTTAAAAGCCAGCATTTTAACTTAATAGTATGAAGATAAATATCCATCAATCAAACACCATGTGAAATTTTAGCTAGTGAAAAGAAAACCTACAAAAATATTTGTAAGAAGCTGTGGAGTAGCAAAAAGTTTAATCGACAAATAGCACAAGACACAAACAGCAAAAAAAGAGTCATTTCACATAGGAAATTAGGTCAGATTACACTGAAATTTAATTAAGATAAAGTTACTCAATTAATATAGAGGA